CGTGTGTGTATTGTAGCGGACTTCCAACACTCAAGGACTCTGGCAAGCTTTTGCAGCTTTGTCAGGACTTGTCCATCTGTGAAAATGGAGATGCTGGGCAGGTGAGTGGAACCTCTTCTGCAGACTGTTACCGCAGTTTAGGCTAATCGTCATTGCGCAGAGCTCGAGCCTACAGGTGTAAGCTCATCGGCTAGAGAACTATAGTCGCAGCCTCTCGTGTTTTGAGGATGAGCTGCCGGAGTCTGAGAGTCTGAGCTTGGGCATGTTGAGCGTCAGAATTCAGAGTGGTATGCTTTAAATGTTCTCTGGTCTTTGGGTGGAAGGAACTTTCACCAGTCAGCAACTGTCCTTGGAATCAACAATCATATGCAAAACATTGTCAAAGGCAACCTCCGTCCATCTTGCTTTCTAAGTTTGAGTTACATGCTTCCACCAGCATAGGCCACGCACGCGGCAAGCTGGCCCTGAAATCGGCTCATCCCAGCACCTCAATCCATATGGCTCCACAAGCCTATCTAGACCAACAAGCTTTTCATCCTAGGCACCTACCGCTCAAACGGTCAAGCCTCCCAGGACGTTTGAGCCTTTGTTTACTCGTGTGGCTCGTGTGGCTGTTCGGTTGGCAAGGGACTGGAAGTAGCAGTGCGCCTCAGGGGTTAATCTTGAGGTCCGACATCGGCTTGATTTCCCAAGGAAACAATAAAGATGCCTTCAGTTTTTCGAAGCCACGAGTATCTGGAATCCTCACCTGCAAAGCCAACAGCAGCTATTCACGAGTTGCAGGATTGGATTTGCAGTCTGAGTTTGAGACTGAGGGTCTTTGCTTGTAGCGGGTAGGTTGTGAATAACTTGGAGAAGGCTCCCTTGTACTGGGTGACATACTCTTAAGGCTGCGATGACCGTGCCAGCGTGTGGTTTGCAATCCGAACTTCGGTGCATTGCATGTGTTTTCCTGAAGCTATAGCTTCAAGAGTCACTGGTTTAGGGCTCAGGGGCTATGGAATTCAGAAATGGGCCGTAGTCCCTGAGAGCAGTGTGCCTCATCTCCGCTCTGTGAAGGCAAATCAGTCCCAATGTCAGCCTATATGTATAGTCTTTTATCCGAATTATGCCCATACATCCCCCGAATCTGACAGACTCTCAGTGAATTTGCTGATAGGAGCCACCCCCAGCACGAGTGAAGCGTCGGGTGCGCCGGCGCCAGAAAGCAACTCGGAAGGAACTCTTAGTAGGGTTAGACGAGGCTTTTGAAAATGGACTAAATCGAAGTATCAAGAGCATAGACATGGGGGCCTGATCTTGACAAAGCGGTACTTGCCGCAGTACAGAACGTATTTGCGGGACCAACAAGTCTGAGAAAAGCCCATATGTATAGTGCCTCAGAACAAACGTTTATTGTGCAAAACCGTCGTCACGCGGATAAGGTTTCTCCTTCCAACGTGGCAGAAGAAGGTCCGTGTTGGGCAATGTTTTGACAAGGTGACCGTGATAAAACCCATAGGGCTCAGTCCCTCCTTTCTATGCCACAATTGTGATTAAACGAGCTGAGTGTGCAGGAGAGAGGTTAGGGGTATCCAGAGCTGTGTTGCTAGGCCTGGTCAGGGTGGAGAACTTCTCGAGATCGCCGTATAGTGAACCGGCTTTGCGGCCCTGAATCACTGCCAAATCCAAGTTGTAGAAGGTTCTGTGCAAAAGTGGCGCGTAAAACTGAGGCCTCTTTGCTAAATGGAGTTCTATTCTTCCAAATCAACCTCGGCAACAACCCTCTTGTGTCCCGCTGATTTTGTACATGGGCTCCAATACTATGCTCAAGCTGACTTTCTAGAACTTTGCCGTCAAAGACAAGAATTCAGATCAGCAAGCCCACCCACAACCACGACAAAGTTTTGAGAAGTCCCCCGTTGGCCATCTAGGAGCCTGTCTCCACCCCCGAAGCGGCGCCTGCGGAAGTGGTGATGTCACCTTGTGCTGAATGATTTCCCCGCCAGTATGCGTGAGTTCGTATTGGGTAATGATCTCTTCTTTGAGGGCTCTATAGAAATCTCCGTTGGCGGTAGGTAGGGAACGAAGCTCCTGAGAAAAGGTTCACATCATTGCCAGCTAAAAAGGCTTTCGCACAAGAGAGTTGGGGACGGGTGAGGATTGGGAGGGTAAAGGCAGGCGTGGCTTTGTGTCTGCGACCTTCAACCGTGCCGCGGGCCAATAACAATTCTTTGTGTCTATGGTGGCAACATGGACATCGTGACTAGCTTGTACATAGAAAGAACCCCATGGCATCAGTGACTCACATGGAAGCCATTAGCAGAGCTTGACCCCTGCTTGATGTTTGGTGATTGAACACGAGGAGAAGGCAACATCGAACTTCAGAACTATGGAACGTATCTTGCAAGGGCGTGCGTCCTCATGAGTCACTGATGGAAACGGTCGCTTGATTCCAAAGCCCATGCAGCGGGTAGTCATGTTAGACTCGAAGCGATTCGGCGTGCACCTATGCTCAGGCCCCCAGACCAAGACCCCAAACTGCATCGGACTCCCAAGTTGCGGGCTTCCTCTCTTCTGGCGCTTGGATGGCAGAGGCAAAAGTGGACATGTCCGCAGTGGCACGCTTTTTGAAGTGCTGCCTGAGCTGGAGGACAATAGAAAACTCAAGCAAAGTTAGCCTGACCTTGCAAACGTGTCTGCCTGTCCTACACGAGGTGTAGTAGAAGTTTATGCTAATGGTGACCCCGACAGTGCTTCCGGATATGTGGGCCTAGGGTCCAAGATAGTATTCATGCTGATGCTCCGGCGCTCCGCTGACGAGTTTGCCCGCACCCTAAGCACCCAAATATGATCAAACCATGCCCATGCATTTCTTTCATGTCCCGGCTTGCAGCAAGGCAGGTTCCTTGCACTTCAACCTGAGTCTGCTAGCAAACTTAGCATTGGCGTTCGCAACTTCAGATTCTTGGAACACTTTGTACGTCGGGATTTGGGGCCTGGGGTTTACTTTGCAAAGTGCAGCCCTGCCTGCAACGAGCGCATACCTAGACGGGCAAGTGCTTAATTGCCAGAATGAATTCTGCACAGTGAACAGACGGTTGAATGCAAGCGTTAGGTTTCCAATTTAGCACAGGGCTCTGTGTTGCAACAGTTGTTAGAGCCATGCCGAAACGCCGACGCGACGACAGTGACGATGACACCGAGCTGACAGATAGCCGGCCGTCTTTCAAGTGCCACGGCTGCACACGCCGGAGCTTTGAAACAGATTCGTCACGGTCGGAAAGGATCTCAGGTTGTAGAGCAGGGAGGGCATCGGGATTTTGCTTCGCTTGTCTTTCTTCTGACAGCTTGGCAGCCCGCAGATAGCCGCCTGCCCTCAATACCTGCCCACCCCAGCCAGACCTCACTAAGATGGGTATGCAAAATTGTTGCAAGACGTCTCTGTGATCGGCGGTGGGTTCGGAGAGAAGAGGAGTAGACCCAAAAGCACGCACATTCACATACACACACACACATCCGTGCGCACGGATTCATTTTTTAAGCGTTAGTGTTCGGTTGGCATGTTCAACAAACACTACTCAGCCAGGCCCCCTCTAGAGGGAGGTAGGGATTCTGAGCATTTGCAAGAGTAGTCAGACCCTCGAGCTTGGAACATGTCAGGCATGGTTCGGCTTTTGAGAGTTTTTTGCGTGTGGATTTTCTGATCTTAGATATTCCAAGCTTGAATTTGATTTCTGGAAATACCGCATTCAATCTTGAAGTCTCTGCATCTGTCACGTCCGGGTAGCCTGGGCTGTGCGTGCAAAGACTATAGAGCTCCCTCCTGTCACCCTGCGCCTATCTCCGTAGGATGAGCATGGTTGCCTAGAAGATCCAATTCACAAGCTCACAACACCAAAGCCCAAGGCCCAACATCTCATTGCTCTTCAGAGCTCAACATGACAAGGCTAACCCCGCACCATACACCCAAGCTCCAATGCCAGCATCCATTAGGGCCTGCCACAAGCCTTTGTTTTTACATCTAACCCTTCACACCATAAAAATATGTGCCAATTTTTAGGCCCAAATCGCGACAGACGTGAAGTACTGGAGCGCAGCGGGTATGGTCTAGACTGATCCTGATCCATAATTCGGACTTGCCACTGACTTGCCTGCCCCCACACCCAGCCCAAGGAAATAGAAATTTCAAACCTAAGGCAAGGCTAAACACAACCCCTTTGAGCTTGAACTTTAAGAATGAGCCAGGTTGAAGTCTGAGCATTTAAGAGATGATTGTGCAGACCATGAGCTTTATCTGACCAAGAAAGAGCCGGATCCTCAGGGTCATGCTGGCCGGGTTTGCAAGGGGTTGCCAAGAGTTTTCAGGAACACTTACGAAAATATATCCTGGTATAGACAAATGTGTTTTTAATACAAAGAATCCTTCTTTATTCACACCCAGCCTATTTCCAATACGGTTCCGCACGTTCCCCTTGCTTTTCTATAAATCTCCAATCACGTGACATGAGGAGTGGCTCCAGGATTGCAGGAGGAGCAAAGGCTAAGGTGTGGCTGAGAAGTTGTGTCGGCAGGTTCCTTTCTTGGTGGTCCGGGGCTATTAATCCAAAACGTCAATTGATATTTCTCGTGATGTTTACTTCCATTTGCCCAAGGCTAATCAGACATGGCTCTGGTGACTCTGGTAAGTAGGACAAGTGTACGTCGCTTAGAGCCATCACCCTCAAACTGCTCGTTGACCAACCATAAAACAAAAATCCCACGGTGTTGAAAACAGATCATGTGCAGGGATTCCATGCAAGAGACAAGTACTTCTTTCGAGATTTGAACCTCGAGAGTTACAGTTTGGGGGCAACTTAGGGTCAAGAACTCACCGGCAACGCCTGAGTTTCCTCACTTAAATAGGGTCCTTCGTGAAACGAGCTTGGGTTTGCAGTTTTTTTGTCCAATTCTGGTTCTCAATGTGTAGTCAGGGGCAGTAGGCTACAATTCCACGCAATCTGGACCAGTCAGTTGCTGAGGCAGGCAAAACTGCAGAAGATGCTCTCGACAATGGGCTTCAGTGTCGCATTTCTAGAGGCGCCGTTGTCAGATGATGAGGATGATGAGGACATGGAGGAAGAAGAGGAGGAATACCACGAGGCTCGCATTGGATTTTGACCTGACAGCGGTTCAGAGAAAGACTTTGTTCTAGCTCTAGGGATCTGAGCACCCTTAGCGGTGTGCCACGGGGAATTCAGCAAAGCAACGTCGTGGTTCTGCTTCGAGGCTAGGCTCATCCTTCAAGGAACGACCTTATCCCCGCTTCATGCAGAGGCTGCAAAGCTTCTAAGGAGGGTATGGTGTGTTTGCGACGCCCCCTTCATGACTTATTGTGCATTTTGCAACACAAGGCTTCAGACTTCTGGGCCTCGGGTAGACCTGTAGACAGGCGCCTCTTCTTTGTCTCTGAATTAGTATACCTCCTCTGTCGACAGCCAGATGCTATACTTGAGACGTCTAAAACCTGGTGCACAGATACCATCCTCATCAGTGGGCTGGGTTCGTTGCTGGCAGCGTAAACAATGCTGGATTCGTTTATTGGACGTTGTTGGATTTTGTCATCGTTGTGACTCTGATCTTTTCGTTGCGTGCCCGCATGAAAAAGTTAGCAGTTCGTAGTCCGATTTTGAAGCCTCCACATTGAGGGTTGAGAGTCACCGCTGGCGTACGCGGACCTTTCTCAAATTAACGTCCTGCCCTTTGACCTGGCGCCAGGCGGATGAAGACGACATGTCCGAAGCAGAACCTTCGGCAGCGGCGGATTGGAACAGGACCAAACTCAAGACAAAGTTGAGCCCGATCCATGCCAGAGAGGCCAGTGGGCTCTATCAGTCCTGTTGCCGGTCCCTGCAGCATGGCAAGCTTATGATCCTAGCCTGGATTGAGACCTTCATTTATGTTGCATGGCTGCGCCTTGCGCATAGAATTCGCAAATATGCTCGGTTTAGCCCCATGCTAGTAACTAGAAAGATCATGCAGATGGCCTCAAATTTCAGAAGGACCTGCGCAGCTTACAGATATTCCAAAGTAATTACGACATTTGGAACTGGTCTTACTAAGCAGCTTGTGGATGCATGGCCACTGTTCAGGCTTGGCCCTCGAGCCCTGCGTCGAAGCCTGTAGGCTTCCTTGTCATACAAGGTAGATGGCCCCCGCCTGAAGCGCCTCATAATCTCCAAAGGCATGTCACCAGTTGTATTGGACCCGGGAAGGCATGGACAATTTTCAAAAGCCCTCATAGTATTGGACATCTTCACAAAATCCCTATAAGATCATACTTGTTAAGCCTTAGTCTCCTGCAGGCGCCTGGAAAGTTTTCGCCATTGGGGATGGACAAGTTTAAGGATGAGATGCCAAAGATGCCAAAGATTCCGTCGCCTGGCTTTCTTGGCATTGCGGCTTGGGAATCAAGAGTTAGAGAGTTTGTGGCACAAGTGCGATACTGAAAACCAGCGACTTTTTCAACACCAAGGCCAGGTGAGGCGCTGTTGCCTGCACGATTTTCTCAACAAACCGCAAGTCACCCTTACCCCAGGCCCCTCACACCCAATGACGCCAAACCCAGGAAAGAGTTCAAGAAGGACACGAAGGACAAGAAGGTCGAGGCGTGTCCGTGAAGCATGTGGAGCTCTCGCTAGCGTCGTATCATCGCCTGTTCACCTCAGCTTGCTTAATGATTGCAACGCTATGATGATTCGAACTGTGCAACAGTTCTAATCATCAAGCTCGACGTTCGAGCGGCGGCGCAGAATCAGAATGAGAGCAAAAACCAGTGTGGAATGATGAAAATGGTAGTGGCATTTGTAAGGTGGTAGTTGTAATCGCAGGCGTGGAATGGCACGCAGACCCCCCCTCGGGGGTGGTCGATTTGGTTTTATGATGCAATGACCTTGAGAGCCCGCGCAGCCTGAAGAAAGGGTTAAAACATTTGCTGCTCTGGTCTGTTCCGAATCTATTTGCGCTAGTACATGTCTGTTTGCCATCTTGTCTCGCAAGATGCCCCTAAATCCACCGACAATGTCGCGAATGACTCCTCAGCAAGCCGTAGGCCTAAAAAAACCTTGTCAGGGCCTTGCCAGCCCTTACCGTAAGCCTGAGATCCAAGAGTAAGTATTGGGGCTTGGTTGACCTTTGGTTCGGGGGTTCTACTCCAGGGAGCAGAAGTCTACAGAGACGCATCTCAAGGGCAGTTCAGACCGCGGATGCTTCCATGGGGTTCCTGTATGCAAGGTGGGTGCATGGAAGACTGGTTGCACCTTCTTCTGCTGATCCCCGCTGTAAAAATTGGGCCTGCCAGAGTTCGTGCTGATACTCCAAGTTACCAGCTACGTGGATTTCCAGACCAGCATTCAATCTAGTTCCAATGAATGCTAGATCCCTGCAATAGCCGCAGCACAAATGCATTATACCATGGACACGGCAGTCTTAGGAGTGACATCCTGGCTCCGCCCTCCGAATATGAGTTCCTCAAGCATCCTTTAACCGCTTATGACAAAATCCCTGCGTAGTCCACCACATCATGGCCAGAACGAAGTCTCCAAAGCATCACAACCATGACACCTTGTCCACTTCAGTACATCCTCACAGCAAAAGCTCAGCCCCGATGGCAGGAATCACCAGAGCCCGAATGGACCCCCAGCCCTGTCGCTGCGCCGCCAGCTGTCATTTGCCTGCACTCCAGGGCTAGGGCTGTTTGTTTGGATTTTCTGTCGGGGCTGAGTTTTAGGTTTTTTGGCTTGAGTTTGGGTGTTGTACATGTGACACCGGCTTTGCAGTGAGGATTCGAATACTGTACTACAGGGATGCCCAGGTCATGGTTCATGGCCCAGGGCTGTCAGCTTAGCTCCGGCTTGGTCTTGTTTTCTGAGCTTGACCCTTGTGGCGAGAAAAGCATCAACCATCACACGTCAAACAGAAGATCCTTGGAACCCTGTGGCTGTAGTTGACTTCGTATGCAGCAAGCCAGAAGAGGAAATGGCCGCAGTTCCTTAAAAGAGACCGACTATTCTTGTATGTGTTGATTATGTGTTGACAAGCAGGACAATCGCAGGGGAGGGATTGCTGGGCTCAGGCCAACACCGTGGACGAAGACAAGGAAAGGGACGAGCTTCAAGCCTTGAGCCTTTGCAGCAAGAGGACGCACAAAGGCTTTTTACGATACGCCTTGGCTTTTGGGGTAAATGTGTAGAGACACAAGCATGAACACACAAGGCAGTTTACAGTGGAGAAGGATCCAAGAACACCCACCATGCGAAGTATGACGTCATGGGGTCATGGAAGCGTTTGATTCATGAGCGTGTCGCGCAGTCTTGCTAGCTTGACAATTCATCGTTATTATTATTATTATTTAGGGCGTCAAGTTGAGCTCTAGATCAGGTCTACGGATGTTTGCTTCTGGGATAGTGCTTCTCAGCTTCAGAGCTGCAATGGCAGCGTCGTTAATTATATACGGGGTGGTAATTTCCCGGCCAGAGAAGATCCTGAGATTTAGGATTGTTAATTTGAGTTTAATTGCAAACCTACTTTTTGCTTGATTTGCCCCATGCACATATTGGGCGTTCAGGGGGTGCATTTCATAGAGGGGTGGTAATGATATGATTTCCCGGCCTAATAACTTAACCCGTAAAATCATGGTTCGCAATTGACATCAAATTAACAGAGCTCCTACTCTTACTCCTACGGTCCTACGACACCCCAATTTCCAGGACTTTTGTTTCGAGATTCGTCCGTCTGGAACGGGGGGGGGGGGCGGGTATTATTACGCGCCTACCATCAGACGGCAAGGAACTGTCATCATGGATTCAGCTGCAACCTTCAAACAATCATATGAATCAAGGAGAAGTCTGAGGCATGTTCTCTCATGCTGTTAACGTTCTGGCTGCGGGCAATGTTGGGGTTGGGTTAGGCGATGCGTGAAGCGAATTCCTTGAAAATGCAATCTGGTTTGTACCACATTATAAGATGGTATGAAGACCTCACCTTTCACAAGCGATGTACAGCAGCCTATTCTCAGGATTGACAAGCTCACGGATGATCAAGTCGGGCGTTTAATCGAGCCTTTGCTTTTGTTCATTGCTCGCGTGTCTAGGCTTCAGGTCGCTCATGGCCTTGAACTCAGGATTTCCTGATATACAGTTCAGGGTTGGGCTTGGCATTCAAGCCATGCGGTATGATGCCAGGAATTACGCAAGCGACTAGAATCAAGTGTCCAAGTTGCATTGTCACGATCAAGGTAGCAAGTCTGCGAGAGGACTAGACATGTGCATGTGGTACAAATGCCAGTGCACATGTTCAAGCAAGACGGAATAACTAGCGTGCAATCGCAGCCACTTCAAATAGGGAGAGATTAGGTCCCTACTCGTAACACTGCCCAGACACATGGTTGCTTGGAAGCTTGCTGGAAGTATGTGTAGTCAAGGGTAGAGGCTTATAGCCCCACAGTCCGTGCTCATCTTCCTGTTTCTATATCAAGATCGCCCGGTGGATCTTCATTGTCATTGTGGGTCAGCGAGGGACAGAGCAGCAGCTTGGAACTTTTTCAAGCCGTCGATATAGCATGGGTGAGCCTGGAGCTTATGCTTTTGTGTGCTTCAGGCTCGGATGATTTTACATATTCAAGGGCAAGTGTCAGGCTGAGCCCAAAGCATTCCATACGAGATCGGCAAGTTACTAAGGCGAGATGGAAGCCTGAGAAAGACCAGGAGACGGGCGAGCCTCTCTTCTCGCAATTAGAAGGTCTGACAAGCACCGTGGCAAATTACGAAAGCCCTGAAGCCCTGATCACCCTGGCCTCTACCTTCACGTCCAAACTCCTCTCAAGGAAGTTCAAAAGATGAGTGTGAGGGAGATCTGCAAATTCCAAATCCTAGGAGTCCAGAGGTTTCAAAATGCATCGTCACCTTCAGATTCCAAAACGCGCAGGCTTCCCCTAGTTCATCACTGTCTCCTCTTCTCACAGGTTCATGCTCGGCTGGGAGAACTTAACTCGCGAGGAGAGAACCCGCTTCCGTGCCCCGGCCTGCAGCTCCTTATGGAGCCATGTTCCCTGTGCAGGGTTTGCAGGGTTTACACGCCGCAGGAAGGAACAAGTAAGCAGAACTTGATTTCAGACGCGAGCTGTTTCATATATGAGCCTAAACCATCAGCGTAGCTCTTTCGGGGCAACTTGCTCTTCGGTGCAAGTATGCGGGATTTGAATGGGCTGGCGCTATAGAAAGCATACAACGGCACAGACTTTGTCAGTAACATTGAGCGGACAGTTGCGTCCGAGCTTTCGAGCCATCCTCCTGTTGTGCATGGTTGTCAGTAGGGGAATACGGAGGCTACGCAGAACACCAGTCAAGATTTTCAGGACATGGGGGATTTGGGTTGAAGCTTCAGGGCTGAGCTGGTGCTTTTCGAGATAACTGTTGGAGATGCAGCTTTGGGGAAGTAGGCCGTAGATGTGATGAGCGTCTTCATTTAAGATTCGTGTTTCTGGTCCTGGAATGCATTTTACTGCGTCATAACACTTAAGGACCCAGACATTTCGAGCCCACATAACCCCTGGCGAGATCTAAGACCTGAACTCAACCCTCGTAGCTTCGCGGCTTGAAGGTGAACGGCCTAGGTTTTTTGATTCATGGCCAACGGCTAAGGCCAGATGGCTGACGAAGTCATCAATGAAGTCCAGTCCCAAGTTTGGGAACCGGCTGGTTTTGGGGATTAGGGTTGGGCTTAGAGAAATTATGTTGATGGCCGTTGCAGGTTCCATAAAGAACTTTCACATGTTTCGGACAATCCCGTGTTGGCATATGCTGGCCACATCGATCTGC